TGTACCGAATATCGATACTTTTCAAAGTATCATATCGAAGTTAGAAATTCAAATATTGTGACAAAATTAATTTTGTAGGGTGCCACAAGTTTGTTACAATTTCCAAAGGGTGCCGCGACTAAAAAAAGGTTGGGAAACACTGTGTTACTTGACTATATCATGCTATAAATAAACTAAACATTTTGAATTTTTACCTCGGTATGTTTGTTCTGTGAGTTTCTTTATATGTGCAGTATGCTCATTTGATTTGATTTCTCCATGAAAGTCTCTCACAGAGACAGACAGGCAGCACGAGCCTCAACAGCGCGACATTGATCATAGAAATACACTATCCATTATCAATCGCTGTTTAAGCTGAATGTAATAAAATCAGAAGAATCATTCGCGCGTTTTGATGCGTGATTATATTTTGTCACTTAAGTTTTAATCAGGCTATTAGTCCTGTCGGGCAAGTACAATTCTCAAGCCATTTTTCAGTAAACTTGCATGAAACCATTTAAAGTAGTTCGGAGGCTGGACAGCGAGCTGGTGTTCGACTGTATTCTGTGTTCATTTTTGTGGTAATGTGACCAAAAATATTTAAGACCTACTGAATCTGAATTTAAGACTTTTTAAGGACCCGCGGCCACCCTGTTAAATAATTAACAGTTAGGAACACCGGGTTTGTATTAGAAATGCAGGATTTGTATTATAATCAATGTCTACTTCTGTTAATATATGTGCTTTTTGTCCCAGTATGCTCAGTGAGTTTAATGAGGAGATGGACCAGAGCAGTTCCAGAATGGACTCAGTGTTGAAGAAAATGGAGAAAGTTTCACACATGACCAGCAGTGAGTGCTTTTACTACTTATTGTGTGTTCCTCTACTTGTTTTCTCATGTTTTTGAATAATTTTTAGCAAATTTGGGTGATTTTAAAAATATATATATTTATTTATTCTAAGTTTGAAGCTAAAATGTATATCTTTTTTAATATTTTAATTATACGCTTTTTTAATTTGGGGTTGTAAGATTTTTTTTTAATGTTTTGAGTCTGTTATGCTCACCAAGTCTGCATTTATATGATCAAAAAACAGTAATATTATTAAATATTATTATTACTTAAAATAACTGTTTTCTTTTTCAATATATTTTAAAATATTTATTTCTGTGTTGGCAAAGCTGAATTTTCAGCAGTCATTATTTCAGTCTTTAGAGTCACATAATTCTGCTGAAATCATTCTGATATGTCGATCTGGTGCTCGAGAAATGTTTCTTATTATCAATGTTAACCACAGCTGCTCAGTATTTTTGTGGAAACCATGATACATTTTTCAGGATTCCTTGATGAGTAGAAAGTTCAAAAGAGCAGCATTTATTTGATTTATTTATTTTTTTTAATATCAGTGTAAAAGTATCTACAGTACTATCACTGTTGATCAATTTAATGTGCCTTTGTTGAATAAAAGTATGATATATATATATATATATATATATATATATATATATTATTATGTATTTATTTATTTTTTAAATATCTTAATGAAAAAATCATCCAAACTTTCACATGGTAGTGTAATTTATGATTTCTCAAAACCACCCAAACAGTTTCACATTTATTGTTTTTGCAAGCTTTTTTCTTTATTTTGCTTAATTCTGCAAGTTTTAAGAAATGAGTGTGAGATGGTGTGATATTTTGACTTCACGTTTGTGCTTTTGTGTGTTGCAGGTCGGAGACAATGGTGTGCTATTGGAGTTCTAGTAATCATACTGATTGTGGTGCTCATTCTGTTCTTTGCTATTTAAACTGGACTCTTCTTAGGCCTCCATCATGCCAAAAGCTCACAGAGGAAGACAGAATTTCACCATGGCTCTTCCACCTCAGCTTCCGTTATCTTTGTGAGAAAGAGTTATTTTTATAGTCTTTCCTCGTCTTTTTTAATTCATCTAACGCATACATCTTCTGGCTCTCAGCGTTTCACTCTCTCTCACTGCTTTTGGATTGGACTACTTGTCCTTGGCAAGGCCTATTCCAGAATTTCACTGGTGCTGAGATGGAAGTTAACAGTTATTGTATTTCTTATGTTTTATTGTGGTACAGAGTGTAAGTGGGGATGAGGAATTTGATATTGCCTTATTATATTTTTATGTTTAATTCTTAAAACAGTACAGTAATTGTGTACATTATAAATGCCCATGAAAGAGGTTGACAGTATGTGTGCTAATGGTTCACCAATTATGTAAAACAGTTTAGATTTTGTTATTTAAAGAAATCTGAATCAACCAATAACAAGCAGTATGAGTAAAGCAGGTTCATAGCGCCCTCTAGAGCTGTAACAGTCACTATAAAAACATCTGTAACTGGTGATACCACCATCAAACATCCTATGATGGTGTGCGTTGGAAATTACAAACTAAAATTATGCCCAGAAATCTATGATTATTTAAATTATGTTTTTAAAGCAAAGTCACACCTTGAGGTTGTCATTGGCATTTTACGCCATTTGTTCGTCCTTTATGGATAAATCTGACATTTATTGCATCATTTGAGTCAGCTTGCAGAAAAGATCATCTGCACTTTTCATGAATCTTCATAGATGCGCTGTGTGCTTCTTGTAAGTATTTGTGTTTCCCATATTTTAAAATATGATTTTATGCATTGCTTTTGAGATGACTGTACACTGGACTGTAAAGTTTCATATTACTGTGGAGATGTGTAGAATCATTTGGACATATAGACAGTTATGCCTTCTGCATGCCACAGTGATATTCCATACTCATTACTCCAGTATATATACAATATATTTGTCATTTTTTTGACAAATATATTTTTTGACCCCACAGTAATGATCGTTACTTGATATTTCTATATCCCCGAACTTGAGCTGAGATCTAAAATTGTGCCCGTCTGTGGGTGTACTAATGAACATTTTGTGCTCAAATCCTCCGTGCCAATGAGTTGTTTCCAGTGTACCCTCTGATCTGGGTGTAAGGACACTACGTGCCTGTGGGTGAATGTATAATGTTCAATATAAATGCTTTCCTCTTTCCGCTTCAACTGAATATGACACATTTCAGTATTGTTTTGTCAAGTATAATTTAGTAATGTGATTAAATATATAAACCCATAAATAGCTGAAAGTCAGCTTCAACTCCAAGCATAAGAGTTTTTGAAAAATGTAAGCCTTAAAATGTGGAACAAAGTATTAAAACTTAATACCTCATATATTCCCATTTAGGGAAATTTGGTACGTATTTGATTTTCTTTTATTTACAAATTAATGTCTTTCAGTGCTGCCTATAAATGAATGCATTTCAAAAGTCTAATGCCCTTGTCACTTGTTTTTGTAAGCATTTGTATTATATAAAACTTTTGCCTTTATTTGGCATCTTGATAAATCTAAATGGTTCCTGATTAAAGTATATGCCTTTGACATGCAGTTTCATTTTTCATTTCTCAGGTTATTTTCAAATGATGTGCATCACACTATTATAGCAGCTCTCAGATAAAAATACTTGTATGACATAATTATAATGATTTCACAGTAGAGATAAATATGAAATCTAAATCGGGAAATCTGCATTGAAATGACTGAACTAGATCCTAAAATGAAAATTTGCTGAAAATGTACTCATTCTCAACACATCTAAGATGTAGATGAGTTTGTTTCTTCTTTGGAATGCATTTGGGGAAATGTAGCATTACATCACTTGCTAACCAATCCTCTGCAGTGAATGGGTGCTGTCATAATGAATCATCTGATGGAAGCATCACCGTAATCCACATGACTCCAATCCATCAATTAATGTCTTGTGAAGTGAAAAGCTGTGTGTTTGTAAGAAATCCATCAAGGCGTTTTAACTTTAAACCATCACTTCTGGCCAACATAGTCCACAATCCACAATAACTCTTAATCCAGAGAAAAAGTCCATCCCCGTTATCCTCTCACATCACCATTTTTAAAGGGTAATTTTAGACTGTTTATGCTAATAAACAGTGTTTGCTCTGTGTATATTTCTCTCACAAATGAGAGTACTTTTTCACTTGAGAAAGCAATGTTATGACTAGAGGACTCTTATTTTAGCTGATAGCAACAGTTTGAAGATTAAAAATGTCTTGATGGATTTGTTTATTACAAACATGCAACTTTTCCCCTCACTGTAGTCGTGTGGATTATTTTCAAGTTTTTATCAGCTGCTCATTCTGATGGCACCCATTCACTACAGAGGATCCACTGGTGAGCAAGCGACGTAGTGTTACATTTCTCCAAATCTGTTCCAGTGGAGACATCTCTTGTATGTCCTGAGGGCAAGTACATTTTCAGCAAATGTTAATTTTGGGGTGTTTAATTCCTTTAAAACAAAAGCCAACCACAATGATTTTACTTTGTTACAAACCTTTTTATTAAGATGTATTTTCATCTTTTCTCCATGTTTATTATTTTTTTACAGTAGTTAATGTGCAATTTTCTTTCTTGTTGGGTCACAGTAAAGGAATTCACAAAGTTATTGGCACTTGGAACACAGAGGAAACACTGGCATGTACTCAGGGTGGGGTGAAGGGTACAGAGGGGTTTTGACATCAGTAGAAGCTACTGCGTTTGTTTCCAAAAAGTGGTTTCTGGGGAATAAAATCTCATGCTGTGAATGCACAACTAACAATCAAACTTCATTAGTGTTTCTATGTATAATGTACAGTCAATATATATAGATTTGCATTTATATATGTATATTCATATATCTATACCAGAAAAACAATTGCTGCAGGATCCCTGCGGTCACACAAGAGACATGCTCTCCAGAGCCATGCTGATGGAGCTCCCTGGCCCCTGCTGAGGTATGAATCTACCACATTCCATATTCAAAGTTGCCCCCATTTACATCTATTTCCCGTAACACCTCAAGGGGTCTCCTGCATCACATGACCTGTATGAGGGCACAGGGGCCAGGAAGGTATGGCTGACGGTGTCAGGAGGTAGATCCACACACCTGCTTGTGTGCGAGCAAATGCATTGGTCTCTGGTGGGCAGGGATGTACAAAGAGCAATATATGTTTTGAAGTCTTTGAGGTTGCCAGCAGCGCAGAAGCGCACAGAAAGATGAAGTACATGGAGCGGCGGGCCGCAGCAGAGAGAAAGAGAGAGGTGTGTTTATACTGGAGGAGAGAAAGTTGGAAAGGTGAAATATGATTAACAGGTTGATAGACATCTTATTAAAAGGATCAAATGTACAAGATATCAGTTTAGGAGAGGTATGTCTTCATCCGAGGCTTTTTGATTGCACCGGTCTTTGTTTTTCCTCTGTATGCGCCTCTTCTGTCTTCTGATAAAAAGAGATATCCAAAATCCCCTTTCTAAAAACCTTTAATATCTCAACAAAAATCAAACAAATTTTGAACCTGGCTTTATCCAATGTTCACATTTATGTTCTAGTGCATATTTAATTACATCATTTGATATTTGAAACCTCGTAACACAAAACAATCAACTGGTGAAGATTTACATTTATACCATTCACCTGGGGTGTCTTGCCTTAATAGTCAAACGACTTTTTTTGTAACCGCAGCTTCCATGCACAAGACGCTGGAAAAGCAGCGAGATGCATCACAACATTAAAAGACATCTGCCTAGAAAAAGTTAAACAGCAGCGCAGTTAAATGCAAAAAAAAAAAAGCACTGTGTGAACCAGCTCTAAGACAGAATTTAAGAAATCTAACAGAATAAAAAAAAGTTGCATCACTCTCATCAATTGCATCAATTGAAACAGTGAGGCAGAGAGAAGGAGCTCAAGGTGCTAAGACAGGGGCCTTCAACTTATTTTCAGGCCAAGCACCCCTTGCTGTTTACAGAGACAGAAAACAGATCCCTTTTTTTTTTACATATTGCATAAAATTGAGTGTAGCATTTTAAGCCTGGCCGATAACATGCGCATATTACCATATTAACGTATTTACATGTGATGCTTATATTGCAAAGCCATTAAAATAAGAAATAACCACATGTATACTTGTATTCAAAATAAAAATATCATTAATTTTATATAATTTAACGTGGGAGGGACAAAGAAAAATTTAGCTGATCTTTAGCTTTTTATTTTGTAGTCAACACATTAATAGGAAAAAAAACAAAACCAAACAAAAAAACACGGTTGACTCCCTGTTGACTCCTATGACAAGGTATGAGTTCACAGTTAAACTATGAACACTCACCAAAAGGTGCTTTTTCAGATTTAAATAAAGCTCCCTCTCTCTTGCAACACACACAACTGACTTTAATAATATCTTCAGCAACTGATAAGAGTACAGCACTCTCAGCTCTGTTTAACACATTTTACAATCCATTTTACTTCTTGCAGAGTCCTACATATTTTTCTCTACAAATCACTATAGAAAATGGAACAGGAAAGAAAAAAAAAAACCACGAGTAAAGGGATCTTAATAATCAAATAAAGTTTCAAATACAAAACGCAAAGTGTCAAATTCAGATAAATATATTAAGTCATGTTAAATAGCTTTAGCAAATCCCCATATTGGTTGTTTGTTAATAAAGTGTCATATGTATCGATTGTTTTGATCATCACATTGGTAAACACCAGCAGAGACTATTTATTCTCGATCTGAATATACGCAATAGCATTTCCTTATATTTGGCAGTTCAAAAACATTTTACACACAGTTGTGTACGTTTTCTTTTGGCAAGGGGTTATTAAATTAAAGATCAAGTCAAATTAAAAGATTTGCTGTCCCTTAATGGTCAGGAGAAGTAACTGCATGGCATCAAGTCCGACACCAGGTGGCGCTCATTTATGAGCCGTTCAATGTCATTTAAACATCACCTTTACCAGCAAACCAATTCAATAACAAAAAAAGATTTCTTTAAGACAGAAAGACGTAATAAAAATAGCTTGCAGTGCTTATAGACCCCAACTCCCTAACTCATCCACCCTTTAAAAATGACATTTTTATACAGTAAATACCCTCTTAGCTAGTTTCAGCTGCCCTCATCCCTTCCCAGCACTTCAGTAATATACAAAGCAAAAATATAACATTTCTCTTGCTCCTAGCTACTGTAAATTTCATGATGTTCCTTTACAAAACACTTGGCAACTCTACAGTCTATGTTAAATTAGTAGCATCTCAATGGCCAAGCACTATTCTAGAGTAGAACCAAAAAAATCATAGCTAATAAAAACAAAGATATATAGTTTCCCATGCATTCTATTACTCTTTTTTTGTGTGTGTGGTATTCATTGTTCTGTGTCTCAAAGCGTCCAAAGCCTAACCTCATTTGTTCTGTTTGACTTAGATGATTCTTTAGTATAACATAATAATAATACTTTTAAGTTTAATTGTTAAATTAGAGGATCCTGCACGTAAGACCAGTGTGCAGGTCAGGGGTTGAAATTCTACACGGGATAATTCCATTAAAGTTCATCGAGTTCCGTGCACACTATGTACCCAATCTCACCAATGCACTACTGAGCAGAACATGTTAAGAAGTGTTTTCGTGAGTTGAAAACATCACAAATCCAGCCCTCATGGCCATGCATGCTGGATGCTTCCTAAAAAACCTCCTGGTCCTGCACGTGTGTCAAACATGATAGTACAAAAAACAGTCTTATCAAGCTGTACTTTGGAGGATCCAGCTCCATATATGTACATTCTAACAGGGATGAAGAAATGTCGACTGCTGTTATCTTTCTTTTTCTATTACGCTGCATTTCAAAAGGTGCAATGAGGAACAGTCCAACACAAAGCCATATTTATAGTCACCATTAATCTATTTTTCACACTTCTCTGTTTTTTTGCACAA